CTATCTCATCGACCACAACGAATTTTTCAGCCGAAAAGGTACCCAATCAAAGCTCCTCCCGTGTACTTTCCAAAGAGCAAATTAGATTGACTTAATTCGTATTTCTACAAAAATCCCGCCAATGAGACGTTTTCGTTGACAGTTATCCCCGACCAGAGTGGTATGAAAAATTGAGGGTACTGTACCCCCGCCTCACCACCGGCTACTGCGCCATTGGATGCTCCTGGATCCGGTCTAGACGACAACTCGGCCACACTCTCGCAGTCCAACCCAGACTCCGATACATCGGCCACAGCTTCCGAATTGGAGCCCGAGGTCGTTGAGGTGACCAACAACACTGCTACGCGCTGCACCCATCAACCCACCCAATTTTTTGCCCCCGGCCCCCCGTTCTACTCCCCCCTCCCCCCTGCAAACAGCGTCCCCGGACGGCCACCAAGTCCCGCCCAACACCTTCCTCCGACACTGACCGCTCGCGTACCACGACGATCGATGTTGACATCGAAGCGATGGATTTCTCGGCAAGCAAGCCAACCCTGACCAAGCCGATGAAATTTGGTACTTAGTCAAATGGCTTCATCCCTCCAAAAAGTTCGTCGACACGGAATGGGTGTTCGAAGGCTCCCTCGAATGCTCCTTCTTGGATGCTGCCAAAGCCCCCTTGGTTTGTTGCATTGCGCTCCCAGCAGCGGAACACAAAGGCACAGGCGCTGTCGACATCTTGAAATGGCGCCGCAACGACCCCACATGGCTGATGATCGGAGCCCAACCCGAGAAAACTTGCCTCGTCCAAGCCCTGACGAAGGCATGCGATATCCTGGACCTACCCTTCAGCTATACCATGGAAGACATGTGCACCTTCAAAGAAATGGATGGAAGACATCGCCTCCACCTTGGCGATCCTGTTCTCCAAGTTCCGCTGCTTTATTCGCAACCTCGTCATCAACCACACACTCCATCCGCATCCAATCCATCACCACCAACATAGCCAAGTGTTCAGCGAATGGACTTAGGCCCACTTGGCTTCCCGCTTCTTTACTACCTCTGCATAGCAAATTGAAAAGTTCTTTGCTGAAGTGTAATGAATACTTTCTCCGTATGAGCACGACACACAAAAATGGAATACAATTTTTCTAGATATTTTCTACGACGAACTTCCTTCAGCAAATCAATGCACGGAGCCGCGAACCCAGAGTATGCAGCTTCAAACTGCTCATACGTTTGATCCCTTTTGAACGCCAACGACAAGGTGAACCGCTTTGAGTCCTCCTTTCGATTCAATTGAATCATATCGCAGTTGAAGTCTTCCAACGTACAAACAAGTCCTGCAGCAGAATCAGTCTCAAATCACTAACGCAAAGCATCCAACTCCCAACGAGCGGTGCAAATCGTCTGCTGTGCAATGAACGCGTACAATAACAACTGCTTCGTAGCCTTCGGTATAGAACATACACTTTCTCTGTTTCAATTTCTATTAGCGTTTGCAATTCAGTTCTAGTTCAGACTCAAGGCGACCGTGCGACTGAGAAGGGCAATTTCCCTCGACCGGCCATGTCGTTGCCTTGCCACGGCAGATGCTGAAGCAAACTCTCGGTACGAACTAAGTTTCTAAGGTCGATTTCATTGCTGAGACTTTGCGTCACCAACTACTCGCAGCATGTCGTCGTGTCGGACCGACGACATCATGCTATCAATTCCCGAAAGTTGAATCGGCATTCGGTTGACTCGAAAACTCGGTAGAACGCGCCACCACGGCGCAAACTGCATGGACATCGCGATAGGAAAGTTGAATGTTAATTCCACGACCTCAGTCAGCACTTTCCGTAGTGTCGTTTGGTCGAGGGGGCGTTGCCAATCCACAATCCACACGTAGTATACCACCCTGTTGAAAGATGATGTTCGGGAAGATAGTCACTGCTAAAGGTTCGCTCCAGTGGCACTCACTGTGGACAGACATCTGTCATGAAAGGTGCACACCCACAAGCATGGAAACAACGGCTCTTCGAGAAGGTGGCACATTTGACAGTCTTCTACCGCTTTTGCCTTCTTATTGCATCATAGCTGCATGGACAAGTACCTTCCATTGCTATCGGATGCAAGTTGGACGTCGTTGTATAGAAGAATCAACACATTGCTGATGTGAAAGTAGCCAAGAAATCCAATAGTAAGCAAAAGGCGAACAGGTAATCCAACAACGGGATGCGAGCCAGAGAGCCCATTCATCAAGGTTGACAGCTCGTGCACCGTTAGACTTGAATTTCCTTTTCTCTTCGATATTGTTCTTCGTGTTGAACTTCTGCAGGCCGATGGTTTATCGGCTGGCATTCGCGTCTTGGGCCGGGTTGGGGTCACGCGTTTTTGATTGATAAACGCTACCAGGGCCGATTTGGCGGGGTCGATCATTGCGGGCCTTCTTTCCGCTTGTGAAAAAGTGGTGAAGAAATCAGTCCAGTCATCTGTACCAGCTAGCTCAGGTGCAATGCCTCCTTTGTGTTCTAGAAAGGACTGAAATTGTTTCTGGTACGTTCCTTTGGCACGCCTCGTACGTAGATGTACCGCGAAACGACTCTTCAATCGTCTCCTTTACGCTGAAGCCACAGTTCATACGAGCAAACTTTGAGATACAATCTGAAGTGCAGGTCTCCCTCAATATTTGCTCCCTGGTCAAAACAAATTACTTGCAAAAGTTTATTTAGCGTAAGGTTGTTTCGAATTCTTTATTGTCGTAGGAGGCCAGGGATCTGGTTGCGCAAGCAGCAATTCAGAACTGCTAGAGACATACAGGTATTGTACCTCAAGAGTCATAGATGGATGAACTTGATGCTCTTCGCATCAGCTCAGGTCACTCGGTCGAGCGATTGCTCATTGACCTCAACAATGGC